GTCTTCCACTGAAGTAAAAATCAAAATCAAGGTTTCTCTTTAAAAAAAGAGACTGTGCAAAACTATAGATTTAAAAACAAAGTGGTGTTTAGAAGTGTGTGAAAACATAAACTTATCCCTTTCTCTTCCACTTTTTATACCAAAGACATTTTTTCCTGAAGCTCACGGTAGCCATGCTATCCTGAGAAGGGATCAGAAATAATTTTAACCTGTCCATTTAAGAACTTCAATGTGCGTACAACAATGCAGAAGAAGGTTTTTCTCAGTATGACAATCCTTTCCTTCCCTTAAATGTTCTTAGTGTACACTTTAGGACTTCTGAGCTAGGCAACTGCAGCTTGCCATATCCTGGCAATCAATAAGAAATAAGAAAGGTTGGTGGCATATAAATAATCCGTTTGGTTGTTGAGTTCTGCATGCCAATTGAGAAACAATTGAAGGTTTCACAGACTGGAAGGGCTAAACAGAGGACTTTGCATTAGATATCTGCCATAACATGTATGGCATGGATCCAGGCTATCTCAGGAATCATCTTACCCCAATACAGGAGTGGGCTGCTGGGGGTTCATAGGGGTTCGGGAGAACCTCTAGCTAAGATTCTGTGCAGTTCGGAGAACCCCCAAATTCCACTCCTGCCTGCCCCCGCCCCTCCCAGGAGTTCCCATGTGGCCCGTTTTGGATGCGGGTAAATGCAAGGCATCATGGAGGCTTGGGGGGAGGCAAAAATGGGCCTAGGCCTCTAGAGCCTGGGGAGGCCGTTTTCGCCCTCTCGGAGGCTCAAGGAAAGCCTCTGGAGCCAGGGAAGGGCAGAAATGCCCCCCCCTGCCATGGTGCAGGAGGCCGACTAGGCCACGCCAACCATGGCCATGCCCGCCCACCCACCCAGCAACTGGGCAAAGAACCCCTTGCTAAAAATTTTGAAGCCCACCCCCGCCCCAATAGAATCAGTCTGCCCCCACCAATGCTGGCAGAGAGGGCATGCTCTGTCAACCAAGGAATTTTGATGGGCAGGGTCCTTCTCTACAGTGGTGAGATCTGCACCAACCCTCCTGACCTTCCGTAAGAGCCTGAAGTCCTGGCCCTGCCAGTGGGCTTGGGACTCCAACAGGAGGAATATCACTCTGGAGGTGGTTAGTAGATTGAGGAAAAAAAACCCTCCTTCCCTCATGGTCTTTGTGCTCCTTTCTCCCCCTTTGTAATCTTTTAATAACATTTTTTTTAGCGTAACTATGATTACTGATATTACTAAGGGTTTTTTTAAATGTTTCTATTTTTAATGTTTGTAAACTTCTCAGAGTTGCTTCTGGATGAGATGAACAGCACATAAATTCAACAAATCAATCAATCACCAGCCTTGCAGAAGACTCCTTTCAGTTTTCTCCATTGTACAGCTTGTTCTATTGTACAAACTCTAAAAAGAAAAAGCTGGGAGGGATTTAATAATAGGTCAAATAAGGCGATGTGATCATTTTGCTGTTAGAAGCAAGATCTTGTTTTGCTTTGCGACGTGACTTTGGGATTAATTAATTCAAAGTAGATGACCTGTTCAAAAGTTTTGCATAGGCCTACTCTCGTCATCCTTGTAATGGGACATTGGATGGGAAGTCTAATTATTTCTATATCAGTTACAATACATCGTATATTATCTTATCTACACAACATTAATGAAGGATTTATGCCACTATTAAATCCTACCCAGAGGTTCAATCTGCAGAAGAAGCTGGGCATAGGTGACTGAATCTGTCCTGCCAATGCATGGGCATTGGATCATTATGTCAGCGTTCCAAGTAACGCATCCACTAAAATCAGAACTCCGAACTTGCTTCAGAGCTGATGTCTTAGTTCAGGTGTCAGCAACCTGTGGCTCCGGAGCCGCATACGGCTCTTTGGGCCCTATGCTGTAACTCCCTGCCAGGTGATCCCATCACTGGCTGTCCCTGCCCCTCACCCTCCTGTCCCAGTTACTCCTCGCCTGGCCTGAGAAGGTAAGGGCGATGGTGGGGGATGGAGAAGTGGCCAGGGCAGAGACAGAGAGAGGGGAAGAGAGAGGGAGGAGGGAGGGAGGGAGATATATATATATCTCAAAAGGGTTTTGTGGTTCCTGGTGTTTTTTAACAATGGTTCTATGCCCTAATGACCTGCTGGGTAGGCGTAGCTAGGGGTGGTGGTCATGTGACTGGTGGAAGTGAGTGACGTCGAGTTGGCCACGCCTACCCAGGTTTTGTGGCTCCCGTTGTTTTCTTTCTGTGGGAAATGGGTCCAAATGGCTCTTTGAGTGTTTAAGGTTACAGACCCCTGCCTTAGTTGGATCAAGGCATTCTTGCTTGTTTTTAAGGAAATTAAAAATGTTACATATTTTAGACTTCATATGACCTAAAATCTTGGATATGAAAATCTGATGTGAACAACCTGAATGATCACGTCTCTTCCATCCCACCTGAATACCATTGTATGTGTTTTTAAATTCAGAATTGGAGAGTACACAGAAAAAGCCCTCTGGCACCATCCAGTATCAAGACTCAACCTAGTATTATTCAAACATTTTGAAAAAGTATGTACATCAAGGGCTAACAATCCACAGGTGTAGGTTTCATCCAGAGGTAAGTATATTAAATAACAATGCTCTGAATAAAACAGGAAGCAACTTTCTGGAATGTTACAATTCGATTCAAAGCCAACAAAGTTTGCTTCTACTCCCTGGATCACCATGCCTTATAAAAGTACAAAACAACTATAATGACCTTTTGAATTGTTCTCTACTCATTACCCTGAATAACAGATATCTTAGCAGTAGCTTTTTCCATTATTGTTTCCTAGCTACATGCACAGCAAGAATCTGGCTCAACATCTCTGTACCTGGGAGAAAAGTTGGAAGGAGAGAAAAAGCAATTAGGATAACTATCCTTATATTCAGGTGTAGCCCAGCATAGTTACCAGATTTCTTTTGAACTACTATATGGAACAAACTTAACAAGCTGTAGATTCGCAGATAGGCTTACTCATTATTGGTTCTCTCAGCTGTGTAAACAAATATATACTAAACGGCAAACACGTTTGGAATCCCACATGAAAAGCATACAGCTCAGAGAAAATTACACGAATAATGAACAATTTGGCAGACGAGGGTTCTCCAACCTCCAGATATGTTGAACTAACCAGGCAGCTATGCAGGAGTTTAAAGAGTATATGTTTAAATGGTTGGTAGTAAACTGAGTTTGCAATTAGGTTGCAGTCGTTCCCTGCAAGGACTGTTTAGAAACCTGGCCTAAGGACGTAATTAGAGGCAGTATGCTGCTAAGAAATAAATACTGAACATGTTCTATGGCATCTTTCAATGTTTGTTTAAGACTTGCTGTGAGGCTATCCAAAAAATTTAAAACACCAGCATTCAGAGCCCAACACTTTGTACAAGAGTTATCCAAAATGGATGTCAATGCTGTGTGGGCCTGTTGGAGTGTTGAAGTTGGGATAGCTAATAAATAATCTTGAGGTTGGTTCTTGTGACTACATATTTTGCAAAAAGCTCCACTCAAATAGAAAAAAGTTTTCATAGAGGGGAAAAAAGTGTTTTACTGGCTCTGCTGCTGTTTAGGCATTCATTTTGGTCTCCTATCACCACACCAGGCTGTGTGAAGAGACCAGACTGCTGTAGCAAGATGATAAAAGTAACTTGAGCAGGGCTAGGCGGGATCTAGAACTGGCCCTGTTGTCAAGACTGAAGTTTACCAAGAGTTGCTGATGACTCATTCTTTCATTTTCTCCTTTCTGGTGTCACATCAGGGGTGAAATCCAGCAGGTTCTGACAAGTTCTGGAGAACCGGTAGCAGAAATTTTGAGTAGTTCGGAGAACCGGTAGTGGAAATTTTGAGTAGTTCGGAGAACTGGCAAATATCACCTCTGGCTGTTCCCAGAGTGGGGTGGAAATGGAGTTTTTGCAATATCCTTCCCCCCGGAGTGGGGTGGGAATGAAGATTTTGCAGTATCCTTTCCCTGGAGTGGGGTGGAAATGGAGATTTTGCAGCATCCTTCCCCTGCTACACCCACCAAGCCATGCCCACCAAACCACACCACGCCCACCAAGCCACGCCCATAGAACCGGTAATAAAAAAATTTCAATTTCACCACTGTGTCGCATGTTCATTTTCTCTATCCAAGATTACAAACCATAGAAAGAGTCCTTCCCATGTGCTTTCCTTCTGAGCATCCTGCAAAGCAATTCCAATGAGGCAGGCAACTAAATGGGTCCAAAATACGGAGCCACCACTGCTAGGTCCATTGGGAAAGCTAAAGGAGTGAGGGAAGGACACATTTCTCCCTCTGCTGACAATTGTTTTCTGGCACCAACTGGTGTTTGTTCTATTTTTACTACCATGCACAGATGTAAAGAGAAACAACTGGCATTCTCAGAGCAACAGTATCTTTTCCTGTTTCATTATCTTAGCTTTTTTAAAAAAACAAGCACAACCGAATCCAGCAAAAGCTGTTTTTTCTGCTATGTTGCTAATTCTAAACTATGTTCTAGATAGACAGAACAGATTGCTATTTCCAAAAAGCAAATTATAAAGGCATGCAAAACTCCTTTCTAAAGAAGTACAATTCGCTAAAAAAATCCAACTGTCATTTGCTTTATTAGAAGCTCATGCAGATCTTGACAAAAGAAACAGGTGGGGAAGGCTGGAAGTTTAGTTAGGCAAGATGGTTTTCTAATGCAGCACATCACAATCATTCCCTAGATAGAATATGGCTATCGAACCACAGAGATTGTGAATTTTTAGTGTGTGCAGTAATGTGTGTAGCGTGAACTCTTTTTGCTTGCATATTTTAATGGCTGTGAAATCATGTTTGCCTTTGGCTCTCCTGCAGACACTTTCTACAACATGCAGGGTAAAAGCAGCTAATAAGCATAATTAGCTCGACACTCAGCTCAATTTAGTTTTGCGCTATGGACTAACTGCCTAGTCAGGGAAGAGGAAGTGTAACATTTTGGTTAATATGCTTACCCGAGGGCCCTGATCACCTTGATCTCCCTGCAAAGTGGAAAGATGATAGTTTTAACACAGCGTGTGTGCTAACCCAGCTCTCTTAAATAATCTCATATCATAACTGCTTCAATAGCCACCAGTTACTATCAGGAGGACTTCCGCTTAGTTGGTTAGTAGCAGAGATTTGCTGACTCACCTTCTCACCTTTTGGACCAGGTGGACCCTGAAAGGAACAGAAAGGATATTCATTAATCATTTCATAACATGGTTGATAAGCCAGCCAGATGCTTACAAGCAGCAGAAGCGGTATCTAATTTGAATAACCCCTTTAGGCTGCAGTTTGGGGGTGCTTGACTGAATATCTCCATGTCTAACAAAGATAACAATCCTTTACATGTACAGCTAGTATACAGTAGTGGCCAAAATTGTGGAAACCTTTTGGGAAAAGTGTATTTTCTAAAATTAGCTAACAACACCACTTTTTGGGGAGACTAGTACCATAAAATTATATATCAATGGAAAGATAATTTAATCAAGAATGTAATGCAATAACTTTTATGAAGGATTTGCTATTAGAATAGCAGTTACAGTATAAAGAAGAAAAGTGAAACACGTAGAAAAAACGAGATATACAAAAAGTATCACCATGTCAGTTAATACTTAGTTGGGGTAACCTTTAGCATGAATAGCTGAATAGCTCAACAGAGCTCTGTAATTTAACACCAGCTGTCTGCAATTAAAGTAAGATCGAATCCCGCCAGGCTCAAGGTTGACTCAGCCTTCCATCCTTTCTAAGGTAGGTAAATTGAGGACCCAGTTTGTGGGGGCAATAAGCTGACTTTGTATAAATATACAAAAGTATGAAGGCTATTGCTTAACGCATTGTAAGCCGCCCTGAGTCTCCGGAGAAGGGCAGCATATAAATCAAATTTAAAAAAAAAAAAAAGGCTTTACAATTTCTTCCCACGGAGTGAACCAAATCTTTTAGTTCTGCAGCTGTTATAATGTGAAACCAAGATTGATTGATTGCTTCTATTAACTGGGTTTTATTGCTGGATCGCTTCTGACTAACATGTTTCTTTACTTGGCTCCATAGATTTTCAATTGGGTTAAGGTCTGGGCTATTCCCAGGCCATTCCAGCAGTGGGATATGATTATCTTGAAACTCACCCCAAAAGTGTTGTTATTAGCCATCAAACCTCAAAAATACACTTTTCCCAAAAGGTTTCCACAATTTTACTACTGTATTATGAACACTATCCCAGACATTGGTTTATGTTTTGAATTGCCTTTTGTGAAAACATCAGATCTGATTCCAAAATTGCAAGATTAAAATAGTAGGATAAGCATTGAAAAGGGTTCAGGAGAAAGACTGCTGTACAATAAAAAAAAGGAAGATGAAATGGAAGAAAGGCAGCTCTGAACAAACAAATATAAATATATTAGGAAAAAGAATGAATTGTTAAAGAATAAAAGAGGACAAATATGTACAACTAGCAAAGTTAGAATTTAGGGATAAATAAAGAAGGTGTTTATATATGCAAGTATAGAAATATTGAGGTATATTCAAAAAAAGGAAAGGGGGGAAGACGATATTGACAAAAATTGTAATTGAGTAAAATGTATTTGAATTTGACTAACTGTATAAGATAAGAAACGACCAACACTCTGTTCAAAAAAAAGAGAAAGATGTGGGTGAAAGTGGAAGAGGAGAAAAGAAAAAAACCAATAAAACTTGTTTTTTTTAAAAAAAAACATTGAAAAGGGTTCTGTGAGAAGTTAAAAATGTCTACCATTAAGTTTGGTTTTAAAAAAAAATCTCCATAGAAAAGTCAGCATTTAGAATTTTGGCTCTTCTACTATTGTTGCATTAAAACTTCAAGCAGATTCAGCCATGATAGACATTGCTAAGAGATGCTGGGAGAGCTTCACTTAGCATTAATTTAGGAATACAGCTTCCTTAACCAGCACTATAGCCCATACCACACATGAATATTTGATCATTTATAGGCTTGGTTTTATATAGCATACCTTGGCTATTCTGAGTTCAAGATAATGTTCAATTGGATAATTTAAATTAGACAATGCAATACAAGCAATCAACATAACTTAAGTTAAACAATGCAACGTAAACAGACCAAAAGAAATATTTGTTGTTGCTGACTAGAGCTAGAAGCTCTGGGCATGGATGCAACCAGGATAGCAAGATCCCAGTATAATAAGAAAAAAAGTATTCTGTAAAGATTTACAGCCATGACTGACTTCATTCTGGCTCTTTATCCGAAATAATTTCTGGGTTCAATAGATGTGTATGCTTGAACTATATCATGTCTTAACAAATAAACATTCAAGTTTATGAATTTGATGTGATTTCTGACTGTAGATTTTTTCTACAGTATAACAAAGGAAATTCTAAGTATCTTCTCCTGAAATATTTCCATAGTGAGTGTCATGGTCATATTCAATGTGATATTCAACTTGTGCACATCAATAAAGAACAGTTCCACCAGTAATGTTTGTGAGGCTACATCTGCATATAAAAAAATCAAGATACTAATTTATTGTTGTGAGCCGCCCTGAGTCCATTGTGAGATAGGGCGGCATATAAGCCGAATAAAATAAATAAATAAAAATAAAATTATCACTTTTTGATCCTTTCTATACATGCACTGCCATCACACAATCATAGGGTTTCCATGAAACTACCATTGATTCCCATTTACAAGGGGTTAGGTTGTACATTCTCTCTAGAGTGACTAATTTAATTATGCTTAAAGTGCAAAATGGCCATTCTATTATTAGCCCTTGAGATTCTAACTAGTTGTGTCTATTTAAGCTCTGTATTTTTCCAGTACCAAAAACAAAAGTCTAGGGATCCACTTCTGTTTTGCTTTGCCTGGGGATTTAATTTTTATTTCAGATCATGCAATCCTGGCTAAGTTTAATTCATGTAACCACAATGTATATAGAAAAAGGACACAGCAAGTTAGTCATGTCAAGCTTCATTTCATGTACAAAGATTAGCAAGAGGCTGATAGATATCAACGTTTGAAAATACATGCAAATTATTTTAAAAAGTCTCTTCTCCATTATAATTCTGGACTAAGTTATGCATCTCATATTTATGTTAAGGTTTGCTTTTCAGAACATTTATTCAAAATGTGCTGTATGTAACATTACATATCAGTGGCATAACATGGCGACCATGAAATTCAGTTCTGAATCACACTTGCTAAAATCCAGTGTGACTAATTTGGTGATCACATCAACCTTTTCTGGTTATTATGAAATCATGTTTTTATGTATATATTTTTTCTTAGATATGCTCATTCACATTTATAATAACTACATGAGGCATATTTTGAAGAGAGAGAGAGGGAGAGAGAGAGAGAGAGAGGGAGAGACTTTATTAGCTGAATATTAGATTTGATTCATATGTAAGATATGCTTGGGGATATGTACAAACTTGCAGCCAATGAAAGCATTAGCAGAATAGGAATAATTCTAGGACTTCAAAAGATAAGAAAGAAATTGAATATCATGGAATGTCAATTCAGGGATGAGCGAGGTTAAAATCAAGGAGTTAAAGTAGAGGGGAAGGAAGGAAGAGAAGCATTAGAGGGAATAGATAAAATGAATCAATTTAATCTTCTCATCGTTCCTATCACCCATCTCCTCCCACTTATGACTGCCTGACTGTAGCTTTGTTACTTGTATTCTTACGATTTATATTGATTGTTTCCTAGTATGATTTGATTGCTTATTTGTACCCTATGACTATCATTAAGTGTTATACCTTATAATTCTTGACTAATGTATCTTGTCTTTTTATGTACATTGAGAGCATATACACCAAAGACAAATCCTTGTGTGTCCAATCACGCTTGGCCAATAAAGAATTCTATTCTATTCTATCTAACTAGGTCACTTCCTGGTTACATTGAAATCATAATTTTGCATGTTTCTTATAATCATAAGGCTGGAAGAGATTGTGGAATCTTCTAGTCCAATCTCTTGCCCAGAGCAGGAATACTTATTCCATCCCAGACAAATGCTTGTACAATCTTTCCTTGAAAATCTCCAGTGAAGGGATCCCACAACTCCGGGAGGCCAACTGTTCCATTGATTAATTATTCTCATTGTCAAGAAATTTCTTTTTAATTCCAGGTTGGATCTTTCTCTCATGAGCTTCCATTCATTACTTTTTGTCTTGCCTCAGGTGCTTTGGAAAATAAATAGAGCACTTTTTCCTCTTCTCTGGCAAGTACTGGGAAGCAGCTTTCATGTTACCCATAAGCCTCCTCTTCATTATGCTAAACCTGGTCCTGGCAATTTGAAGTCATCCAAGGTGGATCAGTGGTGGGTTTCTACCGGTTCGCCCCGGTTTGGGCGAACCTATAGTAGCAGCAGCGGCGGCGGGAGGCTCCACCGACCGGCCCGGACATCATCACGGATGCTCTATGCATGCGCAGAAGCACCACGCACAAGCAAAGCAAGCACGCACACATGTGCGCTCACAGTTCTGAACCAGTAGCGAAGGCAAGTGAAACCCACTACTGTGGTGGATGTATTTTCTTATCAGTGCCATGCTTATGTTTATATTTATATATTTATATTCATTTCAAGGGATTTGAAAGATGTCCAGTATAAATGAAGAACAAATAAAAATCCAAGTTTTAAATCTAGTAGTATTTCTAACAGTGCTCAAATGTATCAGGAAAGAGTTGATTTATCTTTTGTAACTCAAAGTGAGACATTTTAAAAAATAAACCAATATTTACTCAGACCCATTTTAATTTTCTTTAGCCAAGATTGAAAGGGCGTGGCCAAACCGAACAGAGATAGGCTAAATACTGCAGTGAGGACCTGAGTAGTTAACAACTATGATGTTACCTGGTAACATTTGCTCCTGATTTCATATTATGGGATTAGGTTGAGTTATATATATTAGGGTGAGTGGACTACATAAGGAGACAGTAACTTTCAGGATTTGATGCAATTAATTGTTAAGAGTGAAAATCTGATGTAGGACTGATTCTGTTTTGAATTTTCAGTAAAAGACCATCTGCTTTAATGCCGTCTCTAGATCCTCTAAAATAGGGGTGTCAAACTCACGTTGCCATGGTGCCATCACGTGACGTATCAGGACTTTTTTCCCCTTCGCTAAACTGGGCGGGGCTGGGGCCAGCATATGCTGCATCCGGCCCGTGGGCCGCGAATTTG